ATATAAATTTATATAGTAGCCAAAGCACTTTGAGTTTTATCATTAATCCTGGATTTACTTATTATAAAGAAAATTTTATTTCTAGATGGATGGTTTAAAGATGATTTACTTACTAAAGTAATTCAACAACATTAAAATTTCTGTTACCCCAACGATACAAAGAAATATAATAGTCAATTTCAGTGAATATACCGTATTGGCCCGATTATAAGACGATGTTTTTTGATTAATAATTAGGTTGTAAAACTCATAGTCACCTTATAATAATGTCCAACCACAGGCCCCTTCCCCCCACTCTAGCCTTTCACATTCCTGAATGTTCAGATAGCATCCATCTATGCATGCATGGCAGATGTTCACTCAAGGTCATTGCTAATTCTTGCAACTAATCTACCTACAGGCTGTTCAATTATAGTATTGATGTTGTGGACCTAAAAAGAATGTTATGACACTCAATTTTTTCTTTCCCATGCATCGCATTTTGGCAATAATATATATATATATATATACAAGTTCTTCTTTTTGCCAATTGTCAAAATAAATGGCTTTTCCTTGTATTTCTTAATAGTGTAAATATATACTATGTAGTTGTTGGGCTTAGGATTCTTCTACAGTGGGTGTCTGTGACTTGTTAGCAATAAATTCAACAATGAATAAACAGCACACATATTACTTGTTTTCAAACAATATATATGTTCGGAACAAGTTAAACGTATGTACAATGAAGTGTTCACACTATAGAAAATATAAGCATATTGTAAATGTTATATCAGTTTATGTATAGTTCTCCTCTTCTTGTCAAAAGTTCACTTAGGCCTGTTCAATTACTTTAGAATTTCAGTTGACAAGTCAAACTATATTCTCTCTCTAATACTATCACAATATTAGTCTGTTGTGATTCACTTACGATTGTCAAAGTGCACTCAGCCTGATTCAATTACTTTAGAACTACGCTTTGACGGAATAAAATTATCCTTCTTATTTTTTCTTATTCTGTTAGTATCACTCTAACATATTGAACGTTAGGCTTATCACATTTACAGTACTTAACTTCACACAACTATATTCTCTTTTGCTATTATCTGTCTATTGTTGTCTGTCTACTGCTTCCTGCTTGTCTCACGCTATTTATATCTTTATTACATAGTTGTCTGGCCACTTT